CGTTTTGTTACTGATATGGGAATTAGTGCGAATAGCACTGATGACAGGATCTCCAGTTCGATCTAATTTATATTGGCCCATGGCCTGTAACCAATGATCAAGATAATGTATTCCAGTGATTTTTATTTAAATCTCAGACACACACACACACAATCAAATAGAAGGCCCAAAGGCGCCATATTCTAGGAGCCCAAACTATGTAATTGAATAAATCCTTCTCTATCTGTTACGGGTCAAGGGCTCATTTCCCTTCTTCAAATTCCGATTCATATTTTTCGTAGAGAAACACACGTGCGCGCGCGCGCCTCCCCCCACCCAATACTATCTCAACTACACAAGTCTTTGAATTGAACTCATAGCATGGGAAAGATCATATTATCTACGGTTAATTGAGAAAATCAAAACATTCCTACAATCACAAGTTATGAAAAAGACGAATGTCCTTTTTGGGAAAAAAAAATGAAATGAAAAGTAAGGATAGATTAGAATATACTTTGAGGCTCAATAATAAAAATTTATTCAGTTGTGGAAACTAATCAGATTTTTATTGATTTGTAGAAGAAAATTTAGAGGAATAGTTGTCATTCAAGATAGGCTCAACATGAATACTGGATTATGTTGGAGTATGCAATATAATTGGCTATCCATTTATTTTTACCTGAAAGGAGATATTACTCAAACATAGGACTCGTTTTTTCAAGCAATTCACTCTTCATGGAGCGGATTACAGCAAATATGCATTTGAATTAGAATGAAGCTCATAGCAATGGAACGACATTTTAATTCCTGATCACAGATCATCATACCAAAACAACTAAGATAAGGAGGACCACACAGAAGCTACCCCAGCTACAGTCTCTCTTAAATTCGTTTCATTCGTATAACAGGTATTTCAGAAAAATCGTCTCTTGAAAGAAAAAGGCAATGATGGGACGTTCATCAAAGATGACAACAATGCACGAAGTTGACAGAAACCAAAAATGTTCACTAGAAATAGAACGATTCCTCTCCTTAAGGGAAGTATGAAATCCCTACTACTAGGTGCTGTCCAAATTCTGTGACCAAACAAAATTAGAAGAGTTTGCCTTAATAAAAAAAAGTTTCCCCATTATGATCATTATTCCCTCTAACACGCTGCATTCAAGTCCAAATGACTCCATAAACTCATACACGATTCCATCATTAATTTGCTCAGAATTAAGAAACCACATAAATATATTTCAAGCTCCTTGAGTTTGAAGACATGGCTGGCTATCAACAAAATAGAAGGCTATAGTAACTAGAGTAAACAGGTTGCTTCATACCTATTTTCATGTACACAAGAGTGGTAAGCATATTTACAAGAGAAAACTAACTAGCCACAAAACAGCTTACTGGGGCCCCCAAAAAAATTCCAATTCAACAATGGGAAATGAATAACCAGGAAGTCAAGTGATTGTGTCCCGCACAAACTAAAAGCCCCAGTGCTCCTCTTTTACCTAACCAACCACGCCAGAGGGGTTCATCATGGCACAAGCTCTCTGCCCCTTTTATGGATCCTTTCGTCTTCCCTGTTAACCATCAGAAACAGGGCATTATTCAAATAACACCAACGCAATCAACAATCAACAATCAACTATCACTTTCATCCACCTTAAATCAAAAGCAGTAAAACACCACCCAGTGAGACCCAAAACAGAATCATAAACTCTCAACTTATGCTCAACTTGCGGGCCTTCATGCATTTGCCGATGGAAAGCAAATACAATCAAGCCATGCAAAAGGGCACCAACCAAGTCCTTGAATTCAGGAAAGAGCCCTCATGCTCCACCATCAATCATCCAAGATAGATCTTTTGATATCATAGGCAAGATAAACCTGCTAATGATGCAGATTGCTGAAAGCAATAAATCTTTGATAAGAATATGGCCAGGTATTCCCATGTAAGGATCATATCAGATGATAAACCTTTCAGCGGAATATGCCAAGAATTTAAAGAGGTATCAGATTAAAAGCATTACGAAATTGAATCCACATTACCATTTATCATCAAGAATTAAAAAAGTGAGTTTCCTTGAAAATGAAAAGTGGGAGATATTCATGATGTAAGTGAAAAATCGAAGTAACCTCAACATCACATTTCTCAATTCACATGTTCACTTGTGCAGAAAACAAAATTGATACCACAATAACCTTTCAAGGGTAGTAAATAAATCAGTGCTGACAATAATGTTACCGAAACATCATCCTATGACTTAAAAAAAACTTCGTAGCCAAAGAACATCATAGAATCATGCAGGAAGGGATTTTATTTTTCTCAATCGTTTCACAGATGGAGAAACACCCTTCACTGCCTTCCTGGCCTTCTTCAATTTCAGCTTTTTAGCTGGGAGCGGCATCTCCCGGATGGGACCTGGCGGTACACCTTTCTTAAGTGCACTTCCTCTGGGTGTAACAGAGGGAGGCAACCTCAAGCTCTGAGGAGGTAAAGGATTTTGTGGCTTCCACACCAAGTTATTTTTCATGGAAAACCTTACTTTCTTTTTACTTCCCTCCCCACCCTTAACAGCTTTGATGCCTTCAGCATCTCCACAACTCACCTCAGAATCTTGAGATTGCTGTCCTTTTAAAGTCTTTGTTCTCTTTCTCTTCTTAGATACAGTTCCCGTAGTGGTAGCTTCAGGAGAATCAGAGACCCTTGCAATTCCATCATCCAAGCCTGCTTCGGCAGCAACAATCTCAAACTGCTTCTGGAGGTTTGAAATCACAGATTCATTCAATATATTGGTTTGTTCATCGTTTGAGCCATTTTCACAAACTATGACTTGATTCTCATTCTCGGTAGCAATCTCCTCCTTCATAGAATAAGAGGGATCACGCTTCTGTTTCTTCTTAGCCTTTTTCTCCTTGATAATAGAGGCTTTTTTGTCCTTCTTACATTTTTTCAACTGTTTACCAGCGGCTCCATTAGAAACCTTTGAAACGTCTTCACAACATTCCAAACCACCTTCTGGAGCATCCACATCCATAGTCGTCGCAATAGGAACTAAAGTTGGCACATCGTCTTCATCCTGATCATCAACATCAGGAATTGAGAACTCAAATCCTGAACATGCCATGTCTTTCTCTAACTTCTTAAATTCCTCATGTAGAGCAAACAATACTTTTCTATTTCCCTGGCAGCATTCAGGTGAAGAGCCCAACTCATAAAATTTCATCGAGAACCCCATGACTAATCCTATAGTTCCAAGCACCAAAACATCATCTCCCGAATCGATCTCATCCCCTGCCTTCTTAACCTCCAACAATCTCTTCGCCATCTTTAGCAGCTCATCAAACATATTAGACTTAATCTTTCCCAACAAGACTTTATCAGGCAATTTTCCCATAACGGTGATAAAGGGCTTGAAGAGAACCTCAAGCACTTGCGACCGAATGGGAAGGAAAGGCCTAAGCTCTTCCAAGAAAATAGAGGCAATGTGGTAATTAACTCCATTGCCCTGCAACTTATCTTCGGCAGAGAAAGTCCTCTCATCCAAAACACCCACTAACCGTTGGGTAAGTTCCAAATCCCACGAATTCTTTTTGAGAAGAACAAAAAAATTGTGGAGAAATCTCCGAATTAAGAGGTAGAACTTGTCTAACCTGAGGGCGTCAATTCCAGACCATTCGCGACGCATAGTGAGCACGAAAGTGGAGAAGTAATGCTCAGAGAGACCCAGATCGAGAACTAGAAGCAGTGAGGAGAGGCGATCAATGAGTTCAGCCTGAACAGGGACCTTGTCCGCGTGCCAGACGCAATAGAAGAGGCCCTTCCAGAGCTTCTTCATGTCGTCATCGGGAAGTTGGGATTGTGAAGGAAGCCACGTCTTGAAAAGGACTCGAAGAGCCTTGTCTCGAGTGGCCTTGTTGCAGCAGGCAAGCTGCTTGATGAGGGAGCGACCCAGCTGTGACCCGTTCTCCATCGGTTCTGTAGCCGATAGACGGATGGATGCACGGTTTGGTCTTTTGGGAAACCCTAGAGCTTCGCGGGTGACGACGAAAGATGAGTTTTATTATAAGGGCATGAATTATCTCTCAATGGACCCTAACGGAACAATCGAGCGACAGAGCACGGAATGACGAGGTTTGGTCGCCGTTGTATTTCTTGCGTACTTCGGTCCACGAAAATTAAAACCCTAGGTATTGTTCTGGATATAAATTATATAACTCTGTGTCATGCTCAAAACGTCAAAGTTTACCATTATTATTTAAATTACAACATTTTCAGTTTACATGGTTGTACTTGTATTGATTTTTATTAAGACAGTTGCTAAACTGTGAAACATTAAGATCTGAATGGATTCGCCATTAGCAATACAATTAGTATTAAAAGGTAGGAAATAAATTAAAGTTTTAGACTTTTATAAAATAATTATCAAATTAAAATATTTTATAAATCATTAAGCTTTGGGAGGAAGTATGTAAATGGATAGGCTTTAGGCTTATTACTTTTTAACTTGTACATTTTTTTCAGTTCAAAGACTTATTTTTTGCTTTTCAACTCACATTTTATTTCTGTTTTTTTTTCTGAGCTAAAAATTGTGTTTAAGGTCTTGGATTATGGCACTCTCCATGAGACTATGTATGTGTCAACAATATTTTCCTTGATCAACATTGGCAGGCATTGAATTTAAGAGTATAAAGATTTAATTAAGGCCTCTTAAATAAAATCTGCTAAAGAACATTCATAAAATGCCTGATCAGTTAGATGATAAGATCACGGACGAAAATGAAACCTTGCATTCACGTGCTTGGTTTTTTCTTTTTTTTCCTTTTTTTTCCTTTCTTAATGTAAAGTTGAATTTTAGCAAATTTTGATTGCTGAAGCATTGTTAAAATAAATTGTTGGATCTTCTTGTTCCTGATTTTGAAGTGTTTCAATTGATCTCCTCAACCATATAACCTGATAAAAACTGTTGCAGTAAACTCAACTTTTGCAATTAAAAAAGTAACAAATTACTATTTACAAGGCCAAGAAATACCTCTAAAATCCATTATATATATTTGAAGTGTTTCATTTTATCTCTAACAAAGTAACCTTTCATCCCCACTTCCACTTCCACACTACCCCTAAGGTCACACATATATTTGATTGCATATAAACATTTGACGTTACAAATGACAACTAATCATCTAGCTTGATTTTATAGATTCTGAAAAACTTATGGGGGAGGAACAGCTTACATGTCTCCACATAAAGAACTTGAAATTTGGATCAGACTCCCTTCTTGCAGGCTTCTGCCACGGAAAAATAAGGGTCTACAAGAGAGCCCTGCATCTCATATGTCTGGATTAAGGAAAAATGACATGAAGGTGAAAGAGGGTGAAATTTAAATTTTGATATAAACACTTTTCTTTTCTATTTCTCCTGAATGTACGTTTGCTATATATATATATATATATATATTTTCTTGTTTCATGATTGACAGACATCTTCAGACTCTTATTTGGTTGGGGCACTCATGTTATTGCTACTATTAGGAGGACGTCTTGAAAGAGGGTGGTTCCATATAAGCTTGGCGTACTCGGGGTGATCAACAAAAGGATTCCGATTATGCTGATAAAACTTGCATATTCTTTCATTTCTTAATCTCTCTTCTCTCGAAGGCGGACCAACCTCATTCCATTTTAACAATGTTGAAAGAAGTCCCATCTCTTTCTTTTCTGCATACAAGTAAGTGACAAAACATAAATTTCAACCCACTATTCTATTGTCTTTAGATCCTGCACTACTATGTATCATGGTCGGGATGAGATAACATATGAGATGACACAGCATATCAATATTGAATTTGACAAGAACACGAGAAGGATGGATTCTCCACATCGGGATTGTCAGACAAGAATGCAGAAATCCAGGTGTTATAAATTAGAACTTCAAAACTCAAGCAAGCCGCAAATTCAAAAGGAGAAATATTTAACGTACCTGTACTGGGGGCATCTGAGAGGCGAAGACCTGGAATTCTTCCTGATTGTTGGAATCCATAACAGACTTCCATGTACATCAATGCCCTTGCAATATCCCCTCTGACCTGAAGTCATTTTAATTTCAAGACATATCTATGAAAAATCTTTGCAATAAATTAGTTGAGTGAACAATAAATTAGTTATCCGTGCAGAGAAATATCAATGTCTACATGATTCTTTCACTAATTCTGAGTTTTTCTCTGGGAATGAGTTGGCCATGAAAACCATTAAAATGGAGCTTAATAGCAATCTTTACAGCCGAGGCTTATAATTCAACGCTCAAAGCTTGGTAGCCACGATAAATCTCTCGCACGATCAGCAATCAGTTACAAGGGTTCAGAGAGGATAAATGGGGAAAAAAACAAGAAGAAGAAAAGAACCATATGTATAGACCATCAGACCCACATACACATACAATACCTGCCTCGGTGGAGCCCATCTTTCTCTGTCTGTTTCAGTGTCCAGAGCAGCTTCTTTGTTCGCTGGCTTCAAACACTTGGAGGATTTAGCCTCGCATTCTCCATAATACTTGTTTCCCCTTGATGCATTGACTAAGAGAAACATGCACCATCAATAGAAATCAGAATTTTGTGTTTAAATATATTGAGCAGTGGATTCCCTTACCATTTGCATCAGCAGGGCGAATGTTATGTAGATCCGTTAAAGAAGGACCATTTGTTAGTCCATAAGAACGAGGCCATAGATGCTCTCCTGGAAAATGTTTCTTAAATGAGTGAATCCCAATCATATATTACTTAGTTTCAGGAGCTATAACTCATTATTGCATTTACTTTATCCCATTCTTGTCTAGAAGAGGCATGGGTTTCTTTTCATTTTCGAAAAGTTCATAACAAGACCCTTGTGTTTCTAGTGTCAAAACTTGATCAAGCCATCAGCCATATAAGTAAAACTAAGAAGGTTGATTATGACAAAGCAACAAAACAAGCAAAAGTTGAGCACATTTGCTTAGCAATTGATCTAGCCAAGAGTTCTGGGATCCAAATTTCTAAATTTTATCTTATCTTTTGCTTTTGCATTCAGTCAATATCAATATCAATATCAAATTATGTCCTCGGCAAGTCAGAGACAATTTATACAGTTCCATAGGTATCAAGACCCCTTTGGATAACGCCATGTAGCTGCCTCACAGGTTATGCCTGTCAAATAATTTAAATTGTAAGCCATCTTTCTGAACTTCCCACAACTTAAACCCCATCATAAGATGTTCTGGAATTTTAGACCTTTGTCTCTTGCGCTCAACTTTAATCCCTTGAATAGATTATAAGAATCTTTTGGTCAAAAAAAGAACACATGATAAAAATCAGTTGTTTGCCTTAATTGTCATTAATCATACATCATGTCCTATTACGGATCAACACTTTCAGTAAGTTGAATTAATAATATGACCTAATTAAGAAATTTAAGCATTCTTTAAAATGACCTATAAATTGAACCTTGTATACGTGTATTTTAATCGCTGATAATATGTTATCATTTCAGCCTTTGGTATCAAAATGTTATTATGAGATATATAAATTAACCGAAAACTAATAGGTCGTTATTGACCGTTAGAACAATAAAAGCAGTATGCTATAAATAAGTCCCTTCGTTGACAGATTACTGAAGTAAAGTGCATTTCAGTTCTCAAGATTCCCTTTCGTCTCAGATTCATTCTCTGTTTCTCTTTTCTCTCTCCCCCCTATCGCTCCCTCTTCCTATTATCTTTCTATATCAGTGGGATCTAAGAGCCAGGTCATCCTCGGCAATATGGCTGAAACACGAAACCAGACTGCTCTCCGTGAGGTTGATGAACGCGTGCGACAGCTGGAACAGAACATAGATACTCGTATACGATTTCTTGAACAAAGCTTACCGAGGCTATCGACCTTGACAGACATGGTGGAGGGTGTGACGGCACAACTCTCTGGGCTCATGCAAGACAAAGAAGAGGCCGTTAACAGAACAAGTGCGCGCAACGGAGATGAGCATCACAGAACAGGGCACGCGGAATACCAGAGAGCAACTCGTTTTACGGAGATAGAGTTTCCAAGATTCCAAAGAAGCGACGTTCTTGGGTGGTTGATGAAGTGCGAAAGGTATTTCAGGTTGGACGAGACCCCCGAAGAGGTGAAGGTGACGATAGCGAGCTTTCATTTAGATGATAAGGCGTCCAACTGGCACGAGGCGTTCGAACATTCCTGGGCAGGCGAAGTATTGTCTTGGGATGAGTACGCAGACGCCGTTAAAGAAAGATTCGGACCCCCCTATGAATCTCCGATGGAGGAGTTGATGAAGCTTCGACAACGGGGATCGTTGGCCGAGTTTGACGACCAGTTTGACAGTATTATCTGGAAACTGCGACTTCCAGAAGAGTACGTGGTCCAAGCATATGTCGAAGCACTGAGTGAAGATGTCGCCGGGTCTGTACGTCTCTTTAAACCCGCGACATTGAAGGACGCAAGAAGAATCTCAAGGCTCACTGAGTTCAATATGCAGCGAGATGCCGAGAAGGCAACGGCTGCCAAGAACGGTGCAAACATGTCTTCTGGTGGGGGCCGGGGCGTTGTTACCAGCAAATCAAGAAGGGGTGAAGGCTTACAAAAGTGTGTCAACGGGGAGCGGGTACTAGCAAGAAGTGAAGCCATAAGCGAATCATCAAAAAACTTTGCCTTTGGCTCAAAAACAGGAAAACCTCAAAATGGACTAAATAAAATGCTGTCTCCAGAAGAAGTTGATGAACACAGGGCGATAAAATTGTGTTTTTTCTGTCACGAGAGATTTTCTAAAAACCACCAGTGCCCACAGCGTAAGAAAATGCAGTTGCGGCTTGTGAAGAAGGTGAAGAAGGTGAGGCCCAAGATGGGCTACTGGATGAAGGACCCGTCAGTGATGAGTTTCTGAGAATAATAGTGACTTGAATGGAATAGAATTTCTCTTCTATCTCTCTCGTCTCCCTCTCTGTGTCTCTCTATTCTATCTTTTCCTCTTCTCTCTCTCATTCCCCCCGTATATTCCACATCAGTGGGTTTTTCTAAAATTACAAGCCTATAGACAAATTTCAGTGGCTACCAGAAGTACTCAGAAGTTACCTCCAAAGTACTTTGGTCGTTGCAGAGGGTTAGAAACGGTGGGAAGGGTTGGCTGCAAACTAGAACTACCAGCTGAATGTCGAATTCATCCTACATACCATGTCTCATTGCTGAAATTGTATCCAGACCCATCAGCAAAACAGCGGCATGCCCTTGTTGATTGGGCAGAACTACAGAAACCATTGAACCAGAAAGAGTGTTCAACAAACGGGTTGGAAGAAGACGAGGAAGAATGATGACAGAAATTCTAGTTTAGCTGATGAGGAAGCCACACGGGTTCCTTGTATCAAGTTCAACAGCAGTTTCCTAAGTCCGCAATGCATTTGTAATTCAGTTGTTGACAGATTAGTGAAGTGCATTTCCTTTCTCTCAGATTCCTTCTGTGTTTCTCTTTTGTCTCCCCGCACCCCCAATTTCTCCCTGTCCCTACTGTCTTTCTATATTAAACATCAACGAAGAATAAACATGTGAAATTGAGTATTAGCAGCAGCAGATGCAAAAACAACGCGATTGAGACCAAAGTAACTGACATAATGACATCGTAACTCTAGCAAATTGACTAGTTGACTCACTATTCCATCCCTGTGGCTTTCCGGATAAGCGTTTTGGGACAACTCTCAAGGAGTATATTTCAACTCTGCAAAACATGAACCATCAACTATATAAAAATCAGCCGATATGATAAATATAAGGCATTCCAAGTTGACCGGTTAAAGCAATATCAGTAATGGCAGGTCCATACACTCCTGATGAAGCATCAGGTTCATCAATATTGGCAGCATCAAGAAACTTGAGGGCATCCCACACCTGTTAATCAAAGAAGCATCTTAGATCTGCAGATTTAAAACTCAATACAGAACATAAAAGTAAAACCAGTTTATTTGTACAAAGATTTCATTGAAATTAAAGCCGCATATAAAATAAAAACCAGAAATGACCTCTTTGTAGGATAAGGAATGATGTGGGGCAACAAGGCTATTTAACTTTTTCTTGAGTGCTTCACCTCTTAAATGCTTCACGTGGGAATAGTAAGAGGAAGTATCCTCACAAGCGTAAGTAGAGGAAGCTGGATAGTCCTGGGCGTTGGCAACAAGACTGAGGAATAGCAAGTACAAGGAAATGATATGAGACAGCCATCTGCATGTGACATTAAAACATGTTAACCATGGCGGCTCCCACAATCTCCTAGTGAAAAAACAACCAGTAGCTTCATAGCGTCTGTGCCTAGATAATCAAAGCGGGAGGGGAAAAGGATTAGGAAGCCGGTTATGATGAACTAAATTGGAATGACAGGAAGAACGAAATGCAAGATATTCACAATAATATCAATACAGGGTGCTAAAAATAAGCCGAAATATATGAAGGTCAAACAATGAATATATTTAGCAGTCCTGCACACAAATTTAGATGGAATATACCCAAGATTAGCGCATCCAGATTCGTCTCTACCAGAAACACCTAACAATCAACAAATTTGATGATTACCCAAGTCCAAACTAGCGATGATGCTAGTAACATCTAAAATTAATGCAGTAATCCAGAAAGATACGCGCAACAATAATTATACAAGATATCAGTAAATCATCCCGATATATTTTCCGGACCACTTGCCAATGTTGAATTCTAGATAGTTTCATCAAATATAGATAATTTCAAAAAATGACTGAGGCTGTGAAAACAAAGGACTAGTCGATGAACCTCTCATATACATGAGAAATTGGGATCAGGCGCTTTTGACTGCTGGCACAAACAACCCCACTTCGACATGGGAGATGGGGAGTTATGGCGGGTGATAAAGGTTCGAAGGTCGGCATAGACAAGGGTAAGAGCAAATTGGCGGCAAGCGAATGGTGCCGCGCCATTATCGTTTTGCAGTGGATAAGGCGAGGCACTGTGTTGTGCACTGAACCAACAGTACAAATGTTGGTTGGGTATGGAAGGCCATTGGGTGATTTCCGCCGCTGCTCCAGCAACGAAATTCTTCTTTTTTCCTTTGTTTTTTCCTTGCCAGTTCCAATATCGAAATTCGAACCATTATTTTTATTTTGACTATAAAGGCATGTACAAGTCAAACTTGTCCCTCGCCTAAAAAAAAGGTCCCGTATTAATGATCACGGTTCATAAGTGGAATCAAAATGCTGGGAAAAAAAAATTGGAATCAAACTTGTGATAAGATTTCTAAAATACTAGATCCAGTCCTAATTATAAGAGTTAGTTAACTAATTTGAGGAGATTAAGGAAGTAAGCTGAGTTAGTTATTTGTCCTAAATAGGTGTTTTCTTTCCTAAAATATCTTTGTCGATTAAGTGTATTGACTAGAACTATCATTGTTAGAGGAGCTACTTTAGAAAAAAAAATGTATAAATATGAGAGACAAGTGGATTGGGGTCTTATATTTATGATCAAAATAAAAGTCAAACAAGGTCTTATATTAAGGACCGGAGGTAGTAGTTAATACTCATTTTTTGCCCTTTTAAGTTTTTACAAATTTTAGTTTTAATTTTTCAAATTAAAAATTATAGTTTTTGATCCCCCAAGAAATAAAATAATCTAAGTTTTTATTAAATTATAAAAATAAAAAAAGATTGAAAGACCAAAACCAAAATAAATACAACTTTAAAGCACCCAAAATTATATCAATCCTTTCTAGAAAAAACATGCTTATATTTGCCATGGAATTTATGCTCCGTAAGGTGAGCATATGCAGGGGCTTTTGATGGAATGAGATGGCACGATCATTAATAGAATATTGTCTAGGGTTTCATATGCTTGTGCACTTTGATATAATTACAATTTTGTTTATCTATGAAAATTTTAAAATTTGGGTAATTTATATATTCTTCCTGAGATTTTTTTATATTGAACCTTTTTACATGGAATTTATGCTCCGTAAGGTGAGCATATCCAACATTCTCTATTTAGAAATAAAATGCAGACCATTATACAAGAGTAATAAATTTACATGAATACTTGTCAAAAAAAAAATTTACATTATAGCAGCATAGAGATCATCTTATTGGCTGGCCCAAAAAAAAATAAAGATAATTTTTCTTGACACGAATCGTTCATTCTTTTGCGAGCCGGAAGAGAAAAAACCACACTAATTCCAATTTGGCCAGTGCACCCACGAGAATGGGTAAACCTCTACCAGTCACACCAACTTAAATTAATTATAAATCAGTTATAAATCATGCGCGACCAAATTAATAATCTTTTCACTTTACAGCTATAAGAACACAGTCATAAATTTTTAAAATTGAAAAATATGCAAAGCCAAAACCATGAGAAAATAAATATATACCTCATACGTGTTCACAAAGTAACTCATGAAATAAGCTTTTGATATTTTACTATCAAAAAGCAACTAAATACCTCTATTCTCACCAATAAAATAAAAATCACAAACGACAACATCCTTGGAAATAAAAAAATAAAAGAATTCCTCTAGTACTTTCTGTGCATAAAGAGCACGAGGCGGATGTTGTTTGCTCAATCCAAAAGGAAATAGGAAGAAATGCATTTGGTAGGCCTCCATCTCTGGGAAAATATTAATCAATGAAGGGCTCTTTGTCCCACAACTAAGCTGCATTATTATTTGCACTCTCTGCAAGCAGGTCATCATCATATGAAACAGGTATCCTCAATCTATCATGGACAGAGATGCGTTTCTCTTCGGATGCAGATGGCTCATTTTGATTTTGTACTGGGGATGCAACAACAGTGTCATCTGAAACATTGGTTTCAGCCCCTTTAGCAAATGAAAATGTCACTTCTGGAGAATCCTCTTTCTTTTGCCCGGAGGGTCGCTCCGCAAATGGCCGTCTGAATTGCTTCTGCATGATTGCACAAACTTGTTAAGCAATACGAACTACTCATCATTACTTGGTCAAATTAGCATACAAGCTTAAATTAAGATAATGCATAGGCTTGGTTATTCATCATGGAACTTATAAACTTTTAAGCTAAACCACAGGCATAACAAATCAAATGTTGTATATAATATTCTAGATGGCAGAGGTTGCCCTGACCAATTCACTAATCTTAGTGAAACAAAACATTTTTTTTTTAAAAAAAATACTGATTATGCACCAGTGTAATCAGCAAATTTTTACCCAGTCTTCATTTTCACCTCGGAATCCAATATGCATATATACACACACAGACATATACATATACATAGACATATACATATACATATACATATGTTGCCATAAGCAAGCTTCATTGCTGAGAGATAACTCAGTTCTACTTATCCTCATCATATGAGAGGAGCACTAATCACATTTTTCCTTATCCCTTCCCCCTTTTGAAGTCCACACCTATAAAAACCTTCCCTGCATAAATTACGAGGGGAATCTAGAAACCAAACAGTTTGTCAGCATTAGAAAAATTACTCACACACCTCAAAGTCCTTTGCTTTTTTCATTATCTCCTTATAAGCTTTTGGTTCTCGAGTTTTAATGATATTCCACAATATACCACCACCATTTCGGAAGCGGCTACCATCAGCAGTCATCTGCCCTCCGCAAGTTTGGATAGCATCAACCTGAAGCTTGAACATGTTATCATACAAGTTTGGAGAGTATCAAATTGGACATACAAAAAGAACCAGAACCAACAACAAAAGCTTTTGAGATGTCTTTGACAACAATGACGACAGCAAAAAAAGCCATCATCAACATGCAAGCAGAGCATGGTACATAATGTAGCTGATTACCCGACCCTTCTTTGGTATATCAAGCTTCCAAGGGCCATAAAATTTGTACAAGCAAAAAATTATAATTAAAAATTACACAAGAAAAGAACGTAAGAAATTCATAAAACAGATATCTTGTCATCAGTGAAGGGACAATAAGATGGCATTCAATGTTATCCACCTTTGGCTTGAACATCAGTGGCTGGCTACGTTAGGTAAGCAAACATCACTTAGTTTATAGCCAGCATGTTCAATTCTTCAAGTGAAAACAGCTTTTACATGTGCACTGTCACCGACAAAATGAAGTAAAGAATGAATCTCAACCTTCACAATTAACAAATGATGAAGTGGTTCAGCCAGGAACCTCAGATCTCAAGCATAGATGTAGAAGGGGGCAAACAAGCTTCTGGAAGAAAAAATCTGCAAGGTTAGGGACACAAAATTGTGCATCAGAAATTATGAAAGGTTGAGTGGTTCAATAGAAGAGTGGATGAGCACCATCAGCTCTAGGCTTGTCCAAATCAGGTAGGACCTAATTTCTCACCTTTCCTTAGGAAAAGCAGGTTAACTACATCTGCTCCCGGGACAAAACATGCGCCCATTGAGAGAGAGAAAGAACCAGAAGAAATAAAAAAACTAATTGTGACAGAACTTTTTTTTATTAAAAAAAAAATGGAAAGCACATTTTAAATGAGGACTAATAGAAGATCCAGTGAGTGAAGTTGAAGAGCATCCAGATAGCAGCGATAGGACCACACAACAAAACCCAGCAACTTTTGTGAGGGCAGATCTACGGTTGTAGAAACAATACTCTATGATGTTCAAGTGGTAGATAATTAGATATAAAATGAACCAGAAAATTAAAAAGATAGTGTTTATAACTGTGCATGCTGCAGACACTGTTACATCAAGGATCAAAGTTTTGCATTTGTGCGTGTCTTAACGGAACAAAGTTGTTACAGCAAACTTATAGTAGCCAATCAAGCCCCAAAAAACATAAGCCTCCATAAAACTATAAGGACATAAAACTATTTAGAATTAAGAAATCGGTGATTCGTAAGAAAAACGGAGAAGGATTGGACAATTAAGACAAGACACTTAGTTACATCAACATTTTAGTAATTGGTTACCAAAATCAACGTCAAAAGTAAGACTTCCAATTTTTGGTAAATAAAGGGAAATTAAGACCACCGGGGGACCCCAGGAACATAACATCATCAAGTAGACAGATAGCATCAGAAGCAAAGCCTCTCCAACCTTTTGACTACATTTAGCACAGTGGTGCTTCTTATTAGAGCCTCGAAATGTATTGTTCTGTACATGGTTCTTTAGGCCTTTTTTTTTTTTTTTTTTTGGTTTCAACTTCCAACTTCAAAATTCGCATTATGTTCCACAGAAAGCCCTACTTTGTCAGGCAAATTGATTAAGGAAATAACCTTTCAATATGAAACCAAATTAATAGAAAATAAAAGGTTCTAATACCTCTTTGATGAGGTCGCTTAATGCTGCGACCCCAAGGCAACCTACAGCTGTGTATACCATGTATGACTTCTTCTCTTTCAACCGCCGACAAGTATCTAACACAAACCTGAAAAGAACATAATTCATTAGAATTCAATACTACGGGTGCAACCTTCCTGTATGAACAACTTTTTTGGCATTGAGGTATAACCAATGATTTTATTTTCAATTGACTCCGTAATCCAAGGTAAACTTAAAAAGTGGCTTCCTATTCAGAAGAGGGTACCTGTTTACGTCGATGGATCCTGAACCCTTCCTCTTCTTCTTATTCTTGTTCTTATTAGCTCTACGCTTGCGATTCTTACTCTGGGATTCTTTATTTGCTCTATTGATATCTCCACTACTGTCTTGCCCCATATCAGTCTTTGAATCATGGTCCAACAGCTCTCCTTCTTCAACATCGAGCATCTCAACATCGTCATCAACATTGTCAAACCTCTCCTCCTCGTCAATGATATCTAAAACGTTATATTCACCCTCCATAGCAAACTGCTCCAGCAGAAAGAAAGAAGGGTTTATGCCAATAAATAGAGGGAGCAAAACAAAACCAAAAACGACCATCTACATACAATATTTCGAGAACTACAAAGAAATAAGCTCAAACATCAACCACGAAAGATGAGACAAAGGAAAGAAAGAAGAGGGAAAAGAAGTCGACGTCGTCATATTTATAACATGTGGCTGAGCGAATTGAATAAAACACTATAAACTTTTGCATACCACGTTAAACGGCGAA